GTGTCACAAGTCATTTACATTGACTCAAAATACAAGTTGTATTAAACCAGAAACCTCTTAGTCTTTCCCACTGACCCAGATCACAGTGCCTCTCTGAACAGCAAACGTCACAGTTGGCATTGCTTTTGACATACACTCTGCCCACCAAGTGCAAGAACTGCGAAATCGCTCAGATCCAGGCCCACATTACAGCCCCAAGCAGCTCTCCACCCTTGCTTGCAGTGACATGTCTGTCCTACATTCCATTTTTTTCTACACCAGTACCCACATAATTCAAAGTGCTCACCGTTTTTTCCATAGTGCTCAGCACTGCCAATGTAGTTGCTTCCACTGCCCCACTGCCCCAGCTCCTTGCCTTGCAGAGCCAGTGCCTGACAGAGAATCAAAAATCCGCATTGGCCAGAGTGACACTCATGTCACAAATGTGCAGTACACAACTGAAATGCAGCAAATTCATGCCAAAGGAGCCAACTTGGCCACAAATGAGCAGCCAGGTGTGATCTGATCCAACCACCAACTTGAATAATCTGCCCACAAAATTTTACAACAGAGCCACCTATTCACTAGGCCCAAGTGACAAGGTGAGATGCCATGGGGACGATGTGCAGTGCTGGAAGTGCCACAGGCAGCACTGCAGGCAACAAATGTAGTAGCATGGGCCTTTGTTTTTTTTTTTGATTAAAAAAATTAAAGAGGGGATGGATTGTAGTGCTCAAATAGCATTGTGGAAGTTTTGTGGAGTGGAAATTGATGTGAATGTGGAAATAGGGGTCGTCAGTTTGGGGCAAAAACGACAATACCAGTGACTAAAGAAAGCAGTTCCTACCAACCACAATGGAGGAACACATTGGTTTGATTTGGATGTCGTAGTACCAAGAAGAGAAGGCTGTGGCATGCATTCGTGGTGTAGCGGTTAACATCCAACCCTTCCAAGGTTGTGGCCCGGGTTCGAACCCCGGCGAATGCATTTTTGACACATTTGTTTTTTTCCCTTTAACTACTGCTTGCAGGGTTAAGAATCGTCAAACAAGACGAGTTATTGCTGCTAGCGCCCGAAACCGATACTGCTGAACTGCCATTTACTGATGCATTCCCCTGAAACTGATAATTCTGAGCTTCCCGTTCACCAGCACCTCTATCAAGCAGAAGTTTTGTCAGTACAAAATTAATACTACTGAAACACCTCCCCACAACTTAACCAAGCTTCCCCATCACAACAACTTTGGGACTCCTCAACATCACTGTCAGGACCACCACCTTGTCCACTTGAATAAAATCTATTTTTTATGATGACTGCCTCATCCTTGTCCTTGTCCTCGGCTCCCTCCCAAAACCAATGCGCATTGTCACCACCTCCACCCAGCGACTGTACACCCCTGGTGGGCCACAACGTTTCCTCCCCTGATGCTGAGGATAACAGCAATGATGACACCTCTGATAGCAGTGACGCCAGTGACTGCAACTGTGATGCCAGCAATCCCAATGGCAATGACGATCTGCCTCCTGGCACCCAGATATCACCATCAAGTGGGTTATCATCAAGACGTATGTGAACTCCTGGAAGGGCACTGCAGTTGCTGGTATGGTGTTCTACACGTTGAATGAGGCTAGCTTCATGCGTGCCCTGTATTGCCAGTATGGCTGTCACGTCTGGGTCGGTTGGAGAGGCACTGCAGCCTGAAAAGGAGTCAAAAATGGATAGAAAACAGTAGTGTTTAGCCAACAAGTGACTTACAACACAGAGCCTAGGATGTGGCCCTGTTTGCGAGTACCCCTTTTACTATGCCAGCCCATGCTGGCAGCCCACACGGTTTGATGGCATTCCACAGTGCCACACCAATCACATGACCTCTCCACGCATTCCCCATGGTTCCACCACATGTGATGCCATGATCGCCACAATGGCCACATCATAAAACGCGACAATCATAAATTGAAGTGAATTTATGCTAACATTATGAGGGACCCTGTAAATATATACAGTGATGACAGTGTAGTTGCCAGTTTACGTAAATTTATGACAACACGACCATTAATCTGTAAATTGGTGGAAATTGTGAGATTTGGGGAGAATTGCCAGCGAATGCAAGATAGAGAAGGCAGTTCCTTGGGCAGGTAATTACCAGGAGTTTCTTCCCAGAGCCAAAGATGCTATGTAGCAGCTACCTGTGGTGGGGTTTGGGGCAAGAAACTCCCTTGGCAACGAAAATACCAAAAAGATCACATGTTACAGTCACAGACACATGCACTCGTCATGTACTCCACAGAAATTTATGTAATTGACCTTTTTCCTAACAAACCGATTTTATTACAGGACAATTGGCTTGTGCCCAAATTCAATCAAAGAAAGAATATAAAGCAAAGGAACGTAACACGCAAAAGGACCAGCACCTATTGCAACCAGAAAGGCCCCCAGCCCACCCAGGTGATTGGGATTTGGGAGGGGGGCAGAAAGGGAGGGAAATGGCAGACACCAGAGACTGCCAGGGAGGACAGGCCAACCAAGCTTAGCTCAAGAGCAATAGTAGTCAGAACACAGCAGTGATGAGGGCATTTTACTGCACACTCACCACAGGGCTCACAACTTGCACATGAACAGTCCTGTGCCCAGAGGGAAATGAATGGTCGCCATGCAAAGCTGGCAGTGCACGACGAGCCAGGGCCCACGCACGACCACACTCAGGTCAACGCGGCGCAAGAACAACGCTGGGGACCCAAAACCTGTCTGTTGGGACAGCCACGTGGGCAGGCAGCACCCACGCGACCTGGCTGGCGCCACCAACAGCAAAGGCAACGGAAGGTCATTAAGACAGTGATGGGGATGAGACTTTGGGCTTGGCGTATGCAGCACATGCACTTGGGCATGGCCACTGATCTTTCTTGGCCACCTTGTAGGCAGCACAAACACGAAAAACAAACTCGGTGCTGATGACAGCACAGCCAGGGGCAGGAGCAGGTGGAGCGAGGAGGCCACACGTTGGCAAGTTGGCATAGGCACACAGGGTCTTGCTCCTGCAGTACAACCCAAACCTCGAGTTGGTTGACAAGTTTAATGCCTTCAAGCATGATGTGCTGATGCTTGTGGCTTGCAGCCATGCTGGGGAGCCTGCCAAGGCCGTGATTCCCATAATGATCGAGCAGATGAAGGCCGTGTACCTGCACTGCAAAGCAACCAACATAGCATGGCAGGCCTGGGCAGTCGAGCTCCTGCAACTGGGCGTCATCAATGTCGAGTTGGTGATGGTCAGGGGGATGCTGGCCCACATTGTGAGCACGTTCCTGCCGCTGACGTCCAATGGCATCATTCACGTACACTGCCTTATTGTGATGCTGGATATTGCCCATGATATCCATGCAGCTTCAGCCACCCAAGTTGCCAACATGCTCATCATTGCCAAAAGCCTCCTTGTTCAGGTCTAGGCATTCAAGCAGACGCTCAACTGTCTCTGGCGAGTAGGGCTTGAGCATGGAAGAGGTCCTGGGCAGGATCCCTGATGCTGACAACATCGATCACACAACAATTTAGCTTATTTTTTGTACAGTTTTACATTTACTTTGTCCTTCATTCTCCAACAAATTCTTCAACAAATTCTTCAACTTACGTTTTACCACCAGCGTCCATGTACATTACGTCCTCTTGAGATGCGCTGACGTTGAATCGCCTGGTCACTCGGTAACCACAGTGGGCAAGCAAGCTCTCGTTGTTGGAATCCCAGAACGACTCCATGATTTCTCGCCGATCTTGATCGGAAGCGACTTGGTAGTAAGCTTGAACTCTTGGTTGGAGCTGTGCATGCAGGCCTTGGCTTTTGAAAAAAAAAAAAAAAAAATGACCTCAATCACGTTCAAGAATGGACAATATGCAGTGAGGAAGACCGGGAAGATGCCTTGGCTGCAGAGGAACTGATGATGCCCAGGTGACAGCGGAGCTTAGCTTCATCCATGCTCCTAACCGAACCACAGCCAGGGTAAATGTTGCATTAACCAGGCCATGCAAAATCGATGCAATTTGGCAGCGAAGTTGTCTCGCGTAATCATGTCATCCACCATGTGCAACTCGAACAAACTGCTAATGCCAATAAAGCAAAGGAGAGAAACGCGCAGAAGTCGAGCAAATCCGCCCATCTAAAAATATTTTCATTAAATGCACGCCAGACTAAACAATAATTTGCGCCTAACTTCCAGCGCAGGCCCGCACCAAAGAAATTGCGCCAGATGGTCATGGGTGTGTTCGATTGACCCCAGTACTCGTTGCGTTTGACAACCGCTTTGTTGAGATGGAGAAGCGGGTTTTTCTTGTAAAGGTCAACGACCCAGGCCCGCCACTCCTCGCCAAACCGATGATGGAGCTTTTTGCGGCCTTTTCGTTTGAGGGTGCCTGCATCTTCGAATTTGCTAAACCAGCCTGCAATAGTCGACTGGCCCCTGCACATCAGGTCGCCGATCTGTTCTTGCATCAGGTCTTGGGAATACAGAGCGCGTGGTATGTTGTGGCGCTAGTAGTATATGTTGGGGATGGGGAGGACACGATGAGTGTTGTACCGTGAGAACTATCTCCTGGACTCACCTCTCTTTCCTCCAAGCAAGCAAGCAGGTTTTAATCCTTTGAATATAACCAACGCCTGGCCAATTCCCACTACCACACTTCTCTTATAAACCACAACATGGTATTTTGTGTCAACGCTCGCATGTCCAACGGACATGACATCCATGATTTGATGCTGGGCGGCTGCGTCGATTGACGCCCGAGAGCGATTCGCGGCAAGGGTCCGCGACGTTGGAGTGGGGGCCAGCTCGGGGACCTGGGGCATTTTTATTGTGAAAATTTTGAGAGGGTTTTTGTGCTGATGAAGGTGTTTGTGAAACTGCGTTCAAAACTGCAACACCGCCTTTACACGAAACTGACAATACAAGCACCTCCCTAAGCGGCTGTGTTCACAAAAAACAACCCAAACCACATATACGGAGACCACCTCGATGACTCATATATAATTAAAAATGTCCTCCCCAGCCTCGTTTTCGTTGACTGTGTCTGCCTCCTCAACCCCCCCCTCTTCGTCTTGTCACGCCTTGTCATTGCCTCCCTTAACGGCTGACCTCACTCCCCCACCCGGGTGCAATGCCCCTGCCCCTGGCAGCAATGACAATGGTGACAGCAACGATGACAACGCCCCCATTGGTAGTGACGATGATGACAAGGATGCCCATCTTCTGAGCGCCCACAACAAGATCTCTCTTGATGAAGTCCTCATCGAGCCGCACACTGACTCTTGCAAGAACACTTCCATTTCTGGCAGACTCTTTTATGCCACTGACCTGGTTGGGTTGATGCAGACCCTGTTGCCACGTATGGCAATCACTTTTAGCATGCTGCCAAGCAGATCGATGGGAAACGGACCCTTTCGCCTGGTTCAAGCACTCTGGAAAATGCTAGCTGCCATCAGGTGTTAGAATGTTTTTCGTAGGCAACTTTTCTGAAACATATCGATTTAGTAAGTGGTTTTTGGCTGCGATGTCGTTGCTCAAGTTTTCTTTGATCTTTGCGATCTTCTTGGCGCTGCTGGTGGTAGTTGGAGGTGCTGGGTGGCCAGGTTGTTACCCACAACAGTTTCAGTTCATTGGGAAGTGGCAGCATTTTGTAATGTATTGTTTTTGTTCATTGCCAATTAACTTTACTCTCTTTGCTTTCTGCAATCCAATTGGCCATTCCCACCATTCTCTTGCATTGATGTATCTTTCTTGATGCGGCTGTGCACCACAGAAAAATCCGCAACCCTGGTCAGTTGGCCCAGCTTCATGCCTGCACTGCCTGTCTGCTGCAGCCTGTGTGCTAACTGAAAGCATTGCCCATACCAACAATGTGCACCTCTCAAGTTATACATTTTAGTTTATTGGTGATCCTTACCCTTTTTCTCTCTACCAGCACTGCCAATGAAGCTGCTTCTGCTCCCCACCTTGCAGCACCAG